AGAGAGAGAGAGAGAGAGAGAGAGAGAGAGAGAAGTCAATACCAAGTTGTTCTCGATAGAATGCGTTTATTCGAAGAAAAAAAAAAAAAATAGAAAAGAAACATGTGAATAATTAATATCGTATATCGTAAAATCTTTGGGATATAAAAGTCTTACTTTCTAGAAGCGTCACGATGACGTTGTTTCTTCGTTATTTTTCATAAGCACGTATCGATCTTTCCTAAATTTTCTTCAAAGGATTTATCTCTAACAGACGTTACAACGTGGAGATTGCGAACACACAATTTGCTACTTTTTTTGTTACGTTTACATTGATATACAGATTTTTCTTTAACGATTAATAATAAACAATATATATATATATATATTATATAGGAAGAAATTCGCTTTGCTCGAAATATTTTTTCTCGTTCACGATGTTCGTTGTGTTACGCGTGTATAAAATATACGGTATCGTTTCATAAGCAGATCGTGCGATCGATGATAACAGGTGTTCGCACGCAGTCTTGAACTTTGTTTTTCTTTCTTTCTTTCTTTCTTTCTTCTTTTCCAACGATACACATCGAAAAGCTTAAGTTAAAATGATACGAGTCAAGTACAAGTCGGCGAACTCCATCGTTCGTCGTCGTGAAAAAGTATTCGACACGATTGTTTGATACGTTTATTCCTTTTTTTTCTTTTTTTAAAAAATAGCATCGTATATATCAGTATTCGTGACAAAATAGACGGAAATTTATCGTATAGATAAATGTTTCGTGACAGACGACACAGAATTCTCTTCCATTCGAAAGGCACCGATTATTTCAACTTATTTAAAATTATCACGGTTCGTATCGATCGATCGATCGATCGATCGCGAAACATTATTAATCCTTAATCCTAATTGATTAGAACAAACGGTATAAATGTCGCGGTGACATCGCATTAGAAAGGCAAACGGCAAATATAATCGAACGATATTTATCTAAGCTATGAACCAAAGGGTTTCTCACAGTCGAGGTTACATTATTGTGCTTGCAAACATCTCATCGTATAAAAAATACATCGTACAATCTTATAAATACCCTATAAACAGCATGTGTCACACGTAACAAACGATTTGAACGCGCGGTTAAAAAAAAAGGAAAAAAAAAAAAAAAAAAAATAACCATAAATGGATTACCCGCGATTAAAAAATATCCTTCTCCTATCATCGTTTCTTCTTCCACCACGTGCACGTATAACAATACATTTATATATTTATATATAATCTATCTCGCTCGTTAATAATAATAATCTTCCTAAAAGTATACACCGAGTAGTGGAGAGAGTATAAAAGAAGGAAAAGAGGTAAAAAAAAAGGAAGGAGGAACAAAAAAACTCTACAATTTTTACGTACGCAAAAATCGTTATGCTACGCGAAAGATACGGGGAAAAAGAATAGGAAAGAAAAAGAAAGTCGCCTGTTTCCCAATTCGAGAGCGGTAAATAAAACGTAACGTTTGCATCGTTTAAATCTAATCGGTAACTTGGAACCCTACTATATCGAGCGAACGCTCCTCCGCCGGAGGATTCGCGAGAGAGAGAGGGGAGGGGGAATAGGCGAATAATCGGACGACCGTCGTCGGTCCCCCCGTGCCGCCCCACTCCTCAGATTTCGGTAGGGGAGGACACGTGTTGCTGTTGGTGATCCGACTCCTCGTCGCTGAATTTGTAGTTGTTGTCGCGGTTGCGGGATCTTAGCCGCCTGCTCGAGCCGGAACGATCCCTTCTGCTCTTCCTCGTCCTGTGACTTCTCTTCGGCGACGGCATCTTGAAAATTTTCTCCTCCATCCGATTAATCTCGGCCAGCTCGTCGTCCGTGTTCAAGTCGTTGTACAAGCTGGGTATCGACTCGACGGGGATCAAGTCGTCGGAGCTAATGCTTGGAAACGGATTCGGTTTCGGCGCACTGTCTATCTGGTCCGTCTTTTCCTTGGGTGTCGAGGTTGTTGGAAGTTTGACCGAGCTAGAAATCGCCGAGGCCGATTGGATCGATGATTGTTCATTCGCAATTATTTGATCGGGCTTGAGCATATGCTGACCGTATATGTTCCGTTCGTTTCCCAATATGTATTTTTTTTTTTTTTCGATGGTATATATATATATACATATATATACACATACATACACGAGCATCGTGGTAATGTTTTATGTTACAGGTCGAACACAATAGACACCGTGTACACGTATAACACATGGTGTTTTGTTTTGTTTTGATTTTTTATTTGGTAAGCGACGAGTTGTTAAAGGGACGACGGTGATTGGCATGGTGGTTAGACGATGTGTGAT